TACTTTGAAAAATTAATTTTTTAGCTACATTTAAGAACACCAAGTAGTTGGCGAACTTTGGAAAGTTTTCCGACCTGTAGTAGTTAACTGTAAAGCGAAAAATTTTGCATCCCGAACAACCCTTCTCTTAGCATTCAAGGGAAATTTCTAATTTTCTACAATAACTTGACTGTACTTAAAACATCTCATAACCTCTAAATTTTCAGTTATATGTCGTTAAGTGAGAATTAAAACAAGCCGAAAATAGAAATTTTTCTTGAAGGCGGCATTTACAGACATAGAAGTTTTGAGCATTTTTTTAATTTCATAGATAGCTCCCAATCCACCAGTTTGATTGTAAAACATTGTAACCAGAAAATAGCACCTTACTAAACTAAATGCAACAGGTCAAAATTACATGTACATATTATCTGTGGGAATCTAATCGTAGTAATAAACATCGAACATGCGGAAACTTTGGCCCGTGTTTGGAACTCTACAAACTAATTTGAAATTTGTTCTACGCCACACATTTAAAAGTAAACGGGCAGTGTTTAATTTAATTAACCAGGTGTGTACATTTGCATTCATGAAGAGGGGCAACTGGTTACCTATCTTAATATGCGCAAATTTAAACAATTTTTTTTTAGAAAGTATAACATAGAACATCCAAAGGTTAATCAGGTCAACCCATTAACTCAAAATTGTTAAAGTTGCACATTCATGCATTCTTTTTAAAATAAGTGCAGTATTTATTTTTATGCAATATTTAATTTTATAGAAATAGAGGTTTGAATTTCAACAAACTTTGAAACATTATTCGATTTTATATTCCAAAAGTATTTTGAAAATAAAAGAAAAAAATGAAAAATCTCAATTCTGCATATTGCAAAGTTATGGCCGTTTAAAAAAAGGAAGTTTTTTTTTTAAATTCAATATTTCAAAAACGGCTGGAAAAAAAATTGAGAAAACTAGGTAAGTACTATAACATAAAAACTTGGATATGAAACAGCCGAATGCTGTTCGAATCGAGCAGGGATGCGCCATATGCAATTTTTTTAATTAAACTGAATTAGATTTATTAACCGGTGGCAACCCTACTGAATTTAAGTTAAGAAACAAAGCTTTTCAAACCCATTTGGATTGACAGCCATGTTGTTATAATTGATTTATTTAGTTTAAATGTGTTGAATATAATTTTTTAAAAAGGTAGCTATACTTTTCAAAAAAGTAAAACCTTTAAGCTTTGCTAAAAATTTTTATTGAATTGAATTATCTTTATTTATGTAAGCATTTATGTATAGGCGAACATATTTATATAATTTCTTAAATAAAACTAAATTAAATGTATGTAAAAATAAATAAAACTAAATTAAATGTAGTAATTATGCAATAAACTTAAGAGATAATATTAACAGCATTGCGAATATAAGTTTGCATACCGACACAAAAAAAGATAAAAACACAAAATTGTGATCTTATACTAATACATGTATGTATGTATCTATACAAACGCCGTAAATTTAAAACATTTTGTGAAAACTAGTGTCCTTAATGCTAAGTATTTTGATTAAATTCGTATTATTAAAAGAAAACGATTTTTTTTTTTAATATAATTAAAGATAATATTTCGTCTCCAGTACTTTTTATTGTTTATTCTAATTTTTTTTTAATACCGAAACTTTGCTTTTTGCGCCTAATTGCTATGTGGGAGGGAGAAAGGTAAAAGGGACCTACAGGTCGTAAAAAATAGCCTTTTTAGTATTTTACTTCAAAGATGGCGCACTGCCGGAAAAAAATTACAATTCAAAGTCGCTTTTCTCGGATATAAATTTTCGAGCAAACATTTCTAAGGTTTGTGTCGTTTGGCTGTTAGCTTTTGCCGCAAAATTATGGACTGTGCAAATATCATTTTTTTGATTCGGAACTTCTCAAGTGGAGGATACAAAGTAATATTGTAACTTGATAAAAAAAAAAAAAACAATAATAATTATGTATAATAAAATATGGATATTTATACATATGAATGAGCATTGGCAATAAGACGGCATTACGAAAGTAACGACTTAGCCATAAATTGATCAATGTAAGGAATATAACTTATTTTACAAAAAACACAATCATTATTATATGTACATAAATATCATTAAAATATAATTCAAATTAGTTTTTAATAGTAAGATACGTAATATAAATTTTTTAAACATACATATGTATGTATGTACACACGTATATATGTGTGTAGTTTTAAACTAGTTTTGAAAAGTATATTTTCAAAATTTCCAAACGAAAAGTTTAAGATTTAACTGCAATTCTCAATCGACGAGAAAGCATTATTATCTGTTTAGCATACTTACTTAATAAACTCAATGATCTACATTATAAGTTCATTTTCTTCTTAAATACATACACATGTAAACAAAAAAGACAAGCATATTGGAAATCGACTTAAGTGCTTGTGTTTATACATTCGCTTTACATTTTGATTTTTTTGATTATTTTGGCACATCGAGGATACAGTACAGTACATTATTATGCATCGGGAATTAATTGTTCAACTTTCATCAATTAAAAAAACCAGAAATTAATTTACAAAATTGCAATGAACTACATATACACAAAACACACGCATATAAATATAGATATTTGCATGCCCGTTATTTACACAGCTGTAAGCCAATAGAATTGCTAATGCAGTTACTTAGTGATTTGAGTAGCAGAGTATTCGAAAGCGGCTACAACTTAAAACATACATACATATTTAATAATAATAATGATTGGCGCTTGAACATATGTATGTTGGTGTTTGGCCGAGCTTCCGCCCCGATTTGTGATGTTGTCACACAGAGGTGAGGGTGTATGTATGTATACATGAAAAATACGAATAGAAGTAATGGGCTTAAACTATGTAGATATATGCATGTACATATGTGTAAAGGTATGCATTACAAAATATATAATTTATTTTTTTCGATTTATTTAATATTTGTGTATGATTTTATGCAACATACTATTTTACAGTGATTCAAACAAATGACCACGTGTTGCATTTTTTTTTTTAGCTATTCGTAATGTTTTTCGAGCTAAATTTTGTTTGTTATTTTTATATAAAAATAGTGTTCAAGCTTTAACGTAACATATAGATCACAGTTTCAAACTTTATACAAAATTTAGGAAAATTCAAAAAAATTTAATCAAAGTTTAAATTTTTTATTCTGAATCTTTAGAAAATTTTTGGGTATGCAGTTTTATGAATTTTGTTGCTAACGGTCTCCCGAACTTTATTTCATAAGAAATTCATGCACATTTATTTATATGGAAAAAAGTTCAAAAAGGATCTAAAGATTCAGAATGAAAAGTTGAAAATTTGTTGAATTTTCCTAAATTTCGTATAAAGTGTGAAACTGTGATCTATATGTTTTTGGTTAATAGAAAAATAACAAAAAAATTTGGCTCGAAAAAGATTACGAATATGTATAAAAAAAAAAACAATTAACATGTGGCCATTTGTTTGAAGTTATATTGTAAATATTTATAACTTAACTTAACCTATGAGTAAACATACATATGTATATCACCTTAATTGTATGTATATATGAATTTTAGCACATTTAAATTTAATATTTTGCTTACAATTTGTAAAATGTATGTATGTATGTCGTATGAAAATATTTAGTTTATATTTGCTTACATTTTCTTTTTAAAATTTATTGTTCCTTTTGTTCCTAATGACTATTATCTAAACGTATTATCAGTGCATCAACGACATTATAGATCTCATCGAAATGTGGCCGTGCATCTGCTTCGGCGGACCAGCACTTCAACATGAGGCGATACATTTCGGGCGGTGTGTTTTCAGGCGCTGGCATGCGATAACCTGAAAAAGAAGAAATATTTATTAAATGTAGAATATATGTACACATAAATAAAGTATGTACATGTACATTAGGGCGGGCGTTATTTTACAGGTTTGACCCACAAAGCAAAACTCCCCTGCGAAAAAATTGTTAGAGCTCATGAGCCCTAATATCAGGCAAAAAAATCTCAATGACTTCCAAACCTGAAGAGATATGAAAATGGCGGTGATATATGCATGTAAGATCAACGAATAAGCTCTTTTTACTAATTTATAGGCTCTTGAGTCAAGGCTTTCCGTTATACGATTTTGAAAAATTTTTGCAGATCACATTTTTATTACCCAATTAATCTATCTAGGAGCAGTCCTGTTTTGTAGTAGCTTACAAAAAAATTGTGTTCATACAAATAAGGCGCACACTAATTCGAGAGGTACTCTTAAATAATTCCCTATCGACTAATGGTATCCCGGAAGGCCAACCATAGAATATTGTGGAATAATGTGATGAGTACAAAATGTAAAAGAAAACTTGTATCTAAAAGTAACAAAAAAATAATCGCTTCAGAAGGAGAAATAGGCTTTTTTATTCTAACGTAACAGAGATGGAAGAACGAAATTCGTTGATATGGCGGTGTACACATTTGTACTTAATATTTTTTTTTTTTCAAAAATAACTCGCGGAACTTTTCAAAAGACATTCAGGGATAACGTTTTAAAAGAACATATTGAATACATACTCGTGCTTTTGCTCCAAACAATTTTTGAAGTGAAGCTTCTTTAGCGGCGGTGGTTGGTTGGGACTAAATTGGCAAATTCAACGGAAATTGCATACGGGGAATGGAGCAACGGAAATGGTTGAGCTGAAACAAGTGCTTCTCGTGAAGCAAATTAATTTAACAAAAATTTGCTAATAAAAGGTTAAAGAATAACGCTTGGAAAAAGACCAATACAAGAATGAAAGTTATTAGTAACTTGATTGTTTTTGTAACAGAACAGGCATTAGCACAAATGCAAAAATTTCGAACAGAACTTGTTACTTTTAAAATTTCTCATCTGTTAAAGTTTGATTTTTTTTTTTAATTTTATCATTAAATACTAAAAGATAACTGGATTCACTAATTTGTCAGAAACTATCAGTCGTATCGGAAAGTGATGTATATGTGGTTTATGGAGAATTTCGGTAGCTGTGATTTTACATATCTCATTTTAAGATCTTAAGTTGGCTCGTAAGATATACGTGATTAAGTGGAACCACTTTTTGTTTTAAGCTGAATAACGGTAAATTGCAAATATCTAGAAAACATATCCATAGAAAAAAAATTAATTCGATTTTCGGAATTACCGAGCAATTCTACATAGAAATTGGGTAGTGGCATCAATTGAACATTTTTGCTGTAAACCAGTCTAATTTTTTATTTGAAATACGTGCAGAAAATAATATTACTCATACGCCATGTGATACATGTCCCTACTCGTACACGAAGTATGAGTAACATTTTTCATGTTAAAGTTTGAATTTTTTCATTCCCAATGCAAACTTAAAATGAAAATATCTTAGGAAAATTATGTGATCTAGAAAAACGGTATTCAGATCCGTAATCTACGACCCAAAATTAAGTTTACATGTCTGGACGTTCTTTTGTATCATTTAGGCGTCTATACAGTGTAATTTAAATCAAATGTATCAGGCAAATGTTTAAGGGTTTCTCGAAAAGTCGAACGAAAAGGGAGATGCTAAATGTCTTTGTTTTTTCAAAAAACACAAAAAATGTATTATTTCCTATCTGTTTAGCATAGAAATTCCCCAAGGAGCCTGGTGCATAATGCCTAAAGTGATATTTTCAATTTAGAGTCTAATTTTCGTGATCTAATAGTACAGCGCTTAATTTAAGCTTTCTGGTCATTTTACTAAAAAAAACCCTCTGCTTATTTATTATTTAATTATAGTAATAAAGCTATCTATAAAAAATATGCAGGTTTAAGCATGATAAAAAAAAGGAAGCTAGAACCGCTGAGAAGTATTTTTTCAAATTCTTGACGTTTGAAAGCAATTTAATTTTAAAATTTTACACACAAACTCACACACACATTCTCATTTTCTGTCTCAAACAACAACAACTTTGAACAATTCCTTTTTTACTCTCAATTTTATATGATTTTAAAATGTTGGCAAACTTCAAAAAAAAAAAAAATCATGGCCGACGAATTGAAAGAACGGTTTTACCTTACTATGTTTTTATCATGGGTTTAAGTTCTACGTGAAAAATTGCCTACGAAAGGTTCTGTGGTAAAATTTTGCCGGATAACGTATTTTTAGTCCACAAAGTGCTACCGAAATATGTAGGTAAATACATACATATTATCATTATTCATGGGTTACGTTTAAATATGCACATATATATTTATTTCGTTTAACTGCGAGTACTTTAAAATGAAAATACATTACGTTGTTGTACTCACCAGCATCGATTCGTTCCCGTGCTCGCGAATTACTCATGCCTGAGTAGGGTGTATCGCCTTTAGAGAAAATTTCCCACATTAAAATACCATAAGACCAAACATCACACAATGAAGTATATTTGCCAAAGTTCAAGGCCTCCGGCGCAGTCCATTTAACCGGTATCTGTTTCATGCCATCGGAAACTGTAAAATACGTAAAATTTTTTTTATTTTTTTCGTTTTTATCAAATCAAACGTTCGTAATAGAGGTTTAAAGATTTTTAGCCTTATGATAATTTTATAGATTTTTCTTTCAACTTACCTATATACTCTTCCTCTTCACGCGACATTCCAAAATCGGAAATCTTTACTTGATTTTCAAAATCGACCAGACAATTGCGCGCAGCAAGATCTCGATGTATGCAGTTTTTGGATTCCAGGTAACGCATGCCTTTTAATTGATAAACCAGAAAAAAGCAATCAATTTTAGATAATTTTTTTCAAAATATATATGCAAGTCTATATGCATTTTCAACTTACCCGCCGCAGCATCGCGGCACATTCCCATTTGTTGACGTGCCGTCAAAGCGTTTGAATTCTTACGCAAATAATTCAGCAATGAACCGCCTAAAAATAATTTGAGTTAATATCAATCTGAATTACTACGTTTGGATAAGTAAACTACGAAAGTTGGCCTTGCTCTCGGCTCCCTATGAGAACTAGTTTAAGAGCGGCTCTGGAATCGCTACGAGAGTGATTGAAGGTATATTTGATAAAAACAAGAACCAGACAGATAGATTGAGAATAATCGCGGTAAAAAAGATGTGAGCTGTGAATTTGTTTTGAAAGAAATCAGATTTGCCAGGAAATTCCCGGAGAAATCCCGAAACGGGAAATCTAGATAAATGGGCTAGGGATGCAGAAAAAATATCGATGCATCGGAAACATTCGATGCATTGAGTAAAACCGATGTTTTGGATCTTCCGATATATATAGAGATATAGCGATGTATTTGTTTCGATGCATCGACTTTTGTGTGCAATGTACACTGTACTTATTAAAATTATTTTGTATAGCTCCAAACTCTTCGCTCTAGTAACTATTCTAAATGTGTGGAAATTTCGCCATTTAAACACTGTTAGAATATACATTATATTAATATTTTGCAAAATATATTAGTTAATTGCACTAATAAATTGCTAATTTATTAGTAGAAACGTTTATTGCCAAACCACCTTCTACAAAATGATATTAATTGATATGATATTGAAACTCTAAAACCCTTCGGAAATTTGCGTAGATTTTAAATAGCAAATTCCAAAATTGTTTCACATAGTTTATAAACATAGTCAAGTAATATAGTGATGTATGCTTATTTCAAAGCAAAATTTGAGTTTGTAATTTTCGCTTTTTTCAATTCGGGCTTTGATCTTTCGTTTTGTTAAACACCTCTGCCTGATTTCGGCTTAGGTCCTCATCCTGAAGTACTGAATACATCAGTACTGCAACGTTATGTGTGCTTTTGCTCAAACGGCAAGAATTTCTTGAAATGTTTTTTTTTTTTTTTTAATTTTTATCTCAAATCAAAACTCTCATTTTCTTGTTGTATATGTATTTTTAATTGAAAGAAACTGTTTATATTATCTTTCGATGCATCGAAAATATCGACGTTTTTATACGATATTTCGATGCATCAAATGGAAAAAAACATCGATGTATTTTTTTAGCTTGCATCCCTAAAACGGGCTACATAGCTATATAGAATTGAAAAAAAAACTTATATTCTGCTACTATGTATCAAATGGATTTGGTGTACATAATTGCAAACGAATGCGCCTGCCTAATTCTTTACTTACCCGGCACGAGTTCCATAACGATCATAATCGGCTGCTTTTGCACACAAATTCCAATCAATTTAACAATGTTTGGATGATCATATTGCTTTAGAATTCGTCCCTCCTGCAGGAATTTGCGTTTCTGCTCGTCGGGTAATGTCATGCGGCAGGTTTTTACGGCCACATCCTGTTTGGTTGACTTCAACTTTGCCTTATAAACATCTCCAAAATTGCCCTGCAATTTAAATCGAATGAAATCAGCAATTGCACGTAGCACGCAGCCATGTCTACTCACTCTGCCAATTTTCTCTAGTAGCACAACATCATCGTTGCTCAACTCCCAACGTTCGCGGCAGATGGCACGTTTTAAAATGGCACCCGATTTTACCGTCACCGGCAATTCGGATTGATACTGATGCATGATGAGCTCTTGAATGCTGGGGAATGGCGGACCTTCAAAGCGGAAGTGACCATCTGTGGAGGTTTGCACAATGAAATGTTTATGACCATTCCAGCAAACGCTCAGCACAATTTGACTCTCTTCGTTGCGTATGGTTTCACGCACCAAAAAATCACCATCGTTATTGAGCAGACGTACGACTTCTTCGCGTGGCAATACGCCATGAAACCATTCTTCTTCATAGAGTGGACGGTTGGTAGAGAGCGACATCTATGGAATGAAAATGAAGGGTTTAAGAGAGGCAGTTAGCAATGAAGTTAGGGAGAGTTTAGCGATGTAGCGTTACTAAAGCATATAAATAAAATGGTAAATTGTGTGTACATGCTCACAGAGAGAGAGAAAACAATGGAAAACACAACTTACACTGCAAAAAATAGCTAGCAAAGCTTAAATTTTTAGCAAGACGTGTGCGAAAAAAAATTTCTAAAGCATTTGATTTACATACATATTTACAGTTGTATATTAATATGTGTTTAGAATTGGCATTTAAATAATAATGTTACACAAAACCCACTTAAGACATTATCTTTTTATAATACATTCGCACAATTATAATAATACATAAAAACATAAATTTTCTTAGTTTCATCAGTTGAAAACATAAATTGAAAAATTTGCTTTTTATTTGTGTCTTACGAAATTACATTGAGGATTTTAATCAGATATTTTTTTAATAAATATAATACTTTTACGGTTATTTACAGTGTATTTCAATTGTTTAAACTAAAAACATATAATTATGTAAATAATTTGATAAACCATGTTATTACTAATTTGATTAACTCATCGTTCCCGCCCGCTCCAACTTTAGAGAGCAATTTTCAAGATAAATTACATTTCTACCTTTCCGAGGGTGCCCATCGAAAATGTTTTTTTTTTTTTTTAATTTCAAGACCCTACCCTCTAATTTTATTCGTTTTTATTAGAAATATTATTGGCTATTTTTATAGATTTCTTAAAGGTCCTTAAGAGGTCGCGAAATAGGTCAGAAAATACGATTTTGTACTCATAAATCTACAAAATCGTATTTTCTGATCTAAATCGACAGGTCGTGATCTCTAAATGACCTATAAAAAATCTATTAAAATAGGCGCTAATATTTCTCATAAAACCGAATAAGATTAGCGAGTAGGTTCTTGAAATTTCCCAAAAAAAGCATTTTCGATGGGCACCCTAGTATGTATATTATAGAAAATTAACTTTAAAGCGATGTGAGGTATTATTAGTGATAGATATCGTTATCACAGAAAGAGACGAGGCATTCCTTAAGACCTTCTCATCAAGGAAAGGAGAGAAAATGGCCGCCCAGTCATTGCCGAGTAAAATATTCAGTACATTTTTGACGGTGGCTTCGATAGCCGAAGGCGGGTGCGCAATAATTGGTTGAAGACCGAGAAATACCTGGTCCGAGGCCTTTCTAACGAAATGGTTGGATGTCTCATTACAAGGTACTCCCGAGTTACCTGGTAATCAGAGTAAACCAACTTCTAATATATAATACGGGTACACATCGGCTAATCGCAGCTACGTATATCGATCTGGAAGTTTCAAAGACAACCAGGTTGTCCGTAGTTTACATCAAATGTCTGCCCTGACATGGAACTTTTCAGTTTTGAATTTTTTTTTATCCCATTTTAGGGTTTTGTACAAACACAAACGGTTATAGGAAAATTCCACTATAACCAGATGCCAATAAAAAAAAATCCATGTTAGCGAAGGGCCCAATCTTCAGCCACTTTGCACTTGGTCTTTCTGGAACTGACGCACCACACCCGGGATTAAGGTTTAAGCTACTGCAATATAATGAGAGCTTTCGTTCAATTCCGATCAAACACGTGTCATAAAAACTGTTATTTTTGTAGGAAAAAGACTTTTTAGAACGACTACTATATCAAATTTTAGAAATTAATGTATCATTTTTTCGTCACTGTTGAAATTTAGTACTTTTAGAAACTAAAATGTGACGCCAACAAATCTATGAACATATTTTAATCTAAATTTAGAAGTGTTTGGCCTTGATTTTTTTTTTTATTACAGCAGATAAAAACAAAATCAAAATAACAAGCACGCACACACACACATACATGGTATGTAAGTAAATATTGCATGGAGGATTTCATTAGCCAAAACGTTGGACGCAAATACGTATCAAAGACTATTTTTAAGTAAGCGGCTACGTAAAAGGAATACATACACATGTGTGTGCCACTAGGGTGGTCCAAAAATGCATCTGAAAAATTAAAGTCGGAATTTGTATGCTCTCACCCCCTAGGACTGTTCTATACCGAAACAATATACCCCTATTTTTTATTTTGAAACCAAAAATTATTTAGAGGTAGCGGAAAAATCCACTTTTCGTATAAAGGATATAGAATTCTTGAAAATCAATATTTTTCGATCGAAAAAATCTGTTTCTCTTCAAGAGATTCCCAATAATAATACCCAATTATTTATTTAACCATTTTTTTTTGTTTAAGTAACTATATTTTATAGGTCCGCCAAAATCCCCAGAAAATGCCAGAAAATGCAATGGGGTGATAAACAAAAAATCTTTAGTTTTAAAAAATGGATATTGTTATTGGAAGTCTCCTGAAGAGAACCAGAGTGTTCTGATCGAAAATATTGATTTTCAAGATTTCCATACCATTTCTACGAAGTGTTTTTTTCCCATATAAAATACACGGAAAAGTTTGAGCGCTTTGCGCGACCTCTAGACATTTTTTGAATTCAAAATAAAAAATAGGGGTACATTTTTTCGATATAGAACAATCCTATGGGGTGAGCGCATTAAAATTCCGACTTTACTTATTTTGAACCACCTTAATGCACATACACATGCATGCGTTGTACTTCGATCCACGAAAATTTGTATTTAACTTTTTCGATATTAGAAGTGACATTTTCACTTCCGGTTGTATTAAGTAACATCCGAATATTTATAACTTGGCTTTGTTTAAATAATTTTGAGAGAATAATGATTAAACTGTATTGTGCGAAAAGCTTTGATTACTTCAAACGCCGCACAGTGCCAGATTGCCAAATAAGCTGCGACAAAATGTAGTAAATATACTCCGATTTTACTGAAATCTTCTATATGTTGTACTTTTGCTTACCAAACGAAAAACGAATTAAACCGAAATGTCGGATAATATTTACCATTCCAGTTTATATGGAAATCTTCCACGGAGAAGCGTTCAGTCTATGGAAGATTACCGCGAAGAATGCAGGCGAATATAAGTGAAATTGGTTTGTATTTGAATTGGAGTACCTATGCGGTGTATTTTCTATACCGTATTCACCGAATATTCCGGCAACTCTCCCGAACGTTATTTAAAAAGCATAAAATTATTTAGGTATGTGTGAAGATTAGAGGTGACAAACAAATTTAATTACTAATTAATTAATCATACCCAAACACACACAATCACAAGCCAAAAGAATATATTTGCAATTAATTGCAATTATTAAGACACTTTTTTACAGTGAATATTCACAAAAACACTTTTCCATAAAAAATTTCTAATTCTCTTGTTAATTAGGCCTAAATAAAATACAACGAGTAGTTTTAGCGGCAATAATTATTTATTATTTAACGCAGTTTGGAAAAAACAAAATTTTGCATTTTTTTGTTAAGCGGTTACGTTTCTCGGTGGCTGTAGCGCCAGCTTTTGAAAAAAGGCATTTAGCAAGCACCGAGGTACCAACTAAATGGCAGTATTATTTTGAAAGTCCGTAAAGTTGTGGGTAATCAGTTTTCATTTCCTCCCAAGCGTCGATGATATTCCGCTTGGACTTGACAAATTAAATAAAAACTCATTTCTTTTTGCGGGTGATCCCCACTCATCATATTTTCGCCTTCGTTTGTGTACAAGCGATTTATGAGGGGCCCAAAGATGGAACTCATTTTCTACTGATTCTAGTGACGTTTTTTTTTTATATATCTATACATACACACACACATACGTATGCATTTATTTCAATGTATTATGTATTTATAAAAATTAAAACTTAAACTTTTATTCAAAATTGAGTTTATCCGCCATTAAATAAAACAGTTATGAACCTTACTAGCATAAACGATTTGGGCCGTTTCTTTCGCCCAGGCGGCACTGGTGGTCCGGCGATTTGTGTCGGTGACGTTGTGAGTAGTTGTGAAGAGCTACGACTACTCAAACCCGAAGAACTCATTTTGAAGAAGTTGAAATGCTGTAGAATTCCCTCCGTTTTCGAAATTTATAATTTACCGTTGTTTCCAATTTAACACGCGTGGCGTACTTTGTAGTTGTTTTTAGTAGAAATAAGGCAAAATTAATAATGCCGAAGTGCAACAGTTTTTGTTATACAAATTTTAAAGTTATCTAGTATTAATTTTTGCAGCGGTTGGCACGAAATGCGGCGTGTATATATTTGGTCACCGATTGACTAAAACGGAACAACTGAATGCGGTAGATATTCAACAATATTTAGATGAAAAAATTTCAGAAACTTTGTAGGTATGTATGTATAGAAATAAGTACATATCTACATACTACACATATACGCAATTTAAATACGAAATTCCCGCTACTACATATCTAAGGATGGCACACTTGAATTTGCATACGTTCGGAGAGCATTGGCCCAGTTAAAGAGATGAAAATGGTAACGCGGCATAAATTCACTCTCTGCTTGCTTGAAATATATATATTTTTTTTGTCTAACCCCAGCGGCCGGTGATGATATTCCGTCTAAATTTTAAGCAGATCATTTCTCAATGAGAAATAAATATTTTGTTTAATTTTTTGTTCAACGAACACAATAAGCCAGTTTTCTTTCAGTCGTCAAATATATTCTAAGAGCGAAATAATTTAGTTTGTTTTGTTGAACTATTTGTTTAATACACTGAATGCGCTAATTTTAGTTCAATCGCGAAACAAATTGTTTCTCAGTGAAGAGATTTCATTTGCTCTTCGATTTGTATATAAAGTGGCTGGTTGCTGGTGAGTCGTGTTGGAACGCATCCAAAATTCGATTTGTTTGATTTGTTGCAAACAACCAGAAGTGAAATGTACCGGCTTTATTATATACTTGCCTATATATACACACATGTAAATGAAACAGGTGGAGATGCGATAATGCACTCAGGGTAGGACAGCTTCGTGACCTGAAGGCGTTTATACTTAGCAACACTCATTACACCGTGCGACAGTCCAATTGAAACACTCAAAAAAATCAATCAAAAATCATACTTAAAAGTATCGACTCAGCCCATCACTAGACGTCTGGCAGCCCTAGCTTTTGAGGCTTATTCATAGTCAAAATAAAGTCTA